CCAGGTTACACTACTGAACTGCTTAATGAATGTTAGCAACTCAATGCACTGCAGCTATTTCTATATACTGAGAATAATACTGCTTTGCTATAATTAGAAGTTTGGAAAACCGATGGCAGCTGGAAATAGAAAGAATTTAGATGTTTTGAGCCAAAAGATGCGAAGATTGAAGGGAAAAATCCCAACAGCTTTTAAAAAGATGCTCCACAGCCTCTCCACTAATCCATCTTACAGTGTAACTAATTCTACTATTATAAAACTACCTCGCTGTGTAACATAATTTTCACTTTATTTTAACCCTCTTCCCTGCTATATCAAGAGCATGGAGAAGAAATTATTCTCTGCCCCTTTCGCATCACGGTACTCACTAATTTTTATCACTGGCTCTAGAAATTATCATAATACTGCATGAATTTTAGAGTGCATCCTGGAGTTTCAGTTGAAGTAAACTAGTAGTACGGAAAATGTTTAATATATCAGATAACCCACCCAGTACCCCAGGATACATTTACCATCAACAGAGCCCAGAGCGTGAGTCACCTCGTGTTCAGGTTGAAATCTAAAATGGGTTGTAAAATGCCCAATATCTCGTCAATAATTATTTGGTAAACATTGATGACTTCTTCAGGTTTGGATACGCACATAAGAAACAAAGAATCATAACATAATTTAGGTTGCAAGGGACTTCCAGAAGTCACCTAGTCTAAACCCCTTCTCCAAGCAGGTCTAATGAGGTAAGGTTGCCCACGTCTGTGACTATTCCAAGGCAGGAGACTCCAAAGCTGATGTCAGCAACCTGCTCTGATAAATAAAATCTTTCATGGTATCTAAACAGAATTTCCTGTTTTCCAAATGTTTTCTAAAATCAGCTGAGATCTCAACCCCAATGGAATTAATCAGCTACTCTATTACAATGTTTATACTCTATTGTGTGTTTGATGAAGGTCTTCGCAACATGAAAAGTTTTCAATCCTGCATCAATGCAAGATGTGTTACAGTACAAGCAAGAAAGGAAGTTAGTAAAGGTCTAAAGCATGTCCAACCTTTTGGCTTGCCTGGGCTGCACTGACTGCACTCTCAGGCTGCATATACATAGGTCGCATCAAAAGTAACCTCCTATTTATTTTCATAGAAGCTATAACAGATATGAAAAGCACAGTAACTCTGACAGAGCAAGTTATCAGCTATAAAATACTATTTTTCAGCATACACACCACCATTAGCTACGGGTTTTGGCCAGTGATAAACAAGAGCCTGCAAGCCATGCTTGTCAAAACCTGCACCAGCAGAGGTAACCCATGGTCACTGTTGCCACTGCTGGAACACACCACCTCACTGTGCTCACATACACTCGTTGGTCTCCATCAGTGTTCAGCAAGTGTCAAGGAATGTCTATGGGTGCCATTTTTTCTGCATGGAGGAATTAAATTCCATATCTTTGCTTCATCTGCACTTCTGTGTCAGATATCGTTCTGTCAGACTGCCTCTCTGCTGCTATCTGTCATACAGCAACAAGTTTAACAGCATATGTGTTGGAAGGTTCCACCTCTACTACCATACCACTAACATCTGCCTCTGACAATGTAGGCCAACATAATAAAAGAGGAGGCATTACTTTCAAAGCAGCTTTCCTAAAATATATACCATAGTTAATGTATATAAATAACAAAACTTATTTAAAAACAGGAGAAAACAGGAGAAAACACATGAAATGAGAGGCTCAGAAACGACAGCTGCCCAGCAATTGCTGTGTAAAAACTATGCATTTTTAATAGACAAAGCTCCTCTGCCTTGTTATAATTCAGGAGAAATCTGTGTGTTGTTATCAATATAGCAGAATTTGAAAAATAAATTTTGGTGGAGATCATCATTAGAATTTTCTGTTTGTTAGAAGGGTATTATAACAGCTGTTTTTCTCCCCAAAGGCAGCTGGCTGGTGATATTATTTTTCAATTAATGGCACTACACTATGAATAGATTACAGCATGTAGACATGAAAACAATGACAATTAGTTGAAGAAATTAAGCAATGCAACAAAGTAGGTTTTGGTTTCCATTTAATTGGAGGGTAGGGAAAGTCATAGATGCAATAAAGCTTTTCTGGACACAGCAGAATTGGTATGGTGAAGGCTCTCAGAACAATCCAAGGCAGACTGGGTGAATAAATACAATAAAAGCCAGCGCTGGGAAAGCACAGGGAGTGGAAAGTAAAGATGCAAAAGACTTGAGCAGTGTTGAGAAAGTCTAAGGAGAATTTTTAATTTTTAAATCAGAATGTAATATTGCATTGAATCCTTAAATAGATTATATAAATCTATTTTTCAACCTTTAGAGATGAATTTCTGACATTTTATTCTTATAACACCATAGATGCACTGAGGCAAGCTTTGTAATCTGCACTTAGTTGAGCGTGAAAGTTAAGTTTTTCAGTTTTGCCTTCCAAAATACAGTAGAAGAAGAGATGATACAAATGGGAAAAAATATTTTAAAGAAGATCACCATACTGCAGTGCTGTCTGGCCCAAAATGATGAACTTCATTTCCTATTTTAAATTGCATTTCATCATAGCTGCAGAAAATTTATCTGAATCTGCCTAATTAAGTTGTTACATTAGAACAGAATAGTTGAATTGAAAAGAACCTTCAAAGATCACTGAGTCCAACTTCAGGGCTGACCAAAAGCTGAAGCATATTATTGAAGGCATTATCCAAATGTCTCCTGATCAATGACAGGCAAGGGACATCAACCACCTCTGGAAAGCCTGTTGCAGAGTTTGACCATCATCAGGATAAAGGAATTCTCCCAGTGTCCAATCTAACCCTCCATGGTGCAATTTCGTGCCATTCCCACCATGCCACTGGTCATCAGGAGTAGAAGCTGGCACTTCTTTCTGCTTCCCTTCCTCACACTGCTGCAGAGAGCAGGGAGGTTGCCTCCTGACCTCCTCTTTCTCCAGTGAAAGAAGTAGCCTCATCCCCTTCCCACAAGACATGCCTTCCAGCCCTGTTACCAGCTTTGGTGCCCTCTTCTCAATGCTTTCAAGCATTTTAATGTGGTTGTAATATCATAGAGTCCAGAACTGCACACAATACTCCAGGCCACACTGATGCTAAATAATAGCAAGATAATCACCTATTTTGACCAGCTGGTCATGCTCTGAACAATGCACCCCAACATGCAGTTTGTTCCTTGTCTGCCAGGGCACACTGCTGGCCCACGCTGAATCAGATTGTCTTAAAGCATGTTTTCCTCTATCATAAAATCAATTCACATAGCTAAAAAACTCTACCTCTGTGTGCACACAATTATGTTTTTAAACAACATCACAGAGAAGCAGAATACTCCCAAACAAGCACAAACAAAACTCAGTTTAGAGCTCAAGTTTTCTTTCCCATTCTATCTTGCTCTGTTCTGTGCTCCTTTTCCGAACAAGAAGTAGGTGAGAACATTTAGTATACGCATACAGCAAAATGTCAAGAGTTCTCATTTCAAGGACCCACACCCCATAATTCACAGCTTGTGGTAATGCAGTTTTTCATTCCTTAAAGATGATATAACGGACCTCTATGGCTATGTTATATATATGTTCTCACACCGTACACACCTACTGTTACACTTTCTTGCCCTGGATCATAAAGTCATGGAAACTCCCAGTGAATTGAGGACCTGTGATATTGCAACCCTGGTGTTTCTACATTAGCTCCAATTTTCTTTGTTTTTACTGAATATATTCTTGAAGATGGTGAAATAGATTAATTTCCACCAGATTATTTATATGAGCTTCATTACCACACTAAGTCCCTCCACTTAAACCTTTAAATCAAAATGATAAAATTTAGGAATAATCACCCAATAAGTAATTACCCACGTATGAAAAAGAACCCCACCAAATACTGTGGGAACACAAAACTGCTGTTACAGGGAAGTCAGGTGTATCCTTTGCTTTTCAGCATCTAACAGAATGTGTCCTCAGAGAACATTTTTATATCATATGAGATGCAGAGAGGGACAAGGTCCCACCAGGTATCTATATCCCAACTGGGAGGCAGGATCATCGGGATTTTTCAAGAGAATGGTTTTCCTCATAAAGTGTCCAATCATCATTTTGTACTTGCTGCACATCTTACATTGTCCACGTAAGTGAAAAAAGGAGGAAATGTTTAAACATTAGTGAAAAGCTGCGGGACGCTTCAATCTGCTAATTCCCCCACCCAGCTCCATTGTCTTCCCTCTGCATTTAACGATCATGGACAGCCGTCTCTTGCACCTAACAGTATCCTTTCTCTTCAAGTTGGCTGCTGATAGAGAACTCTTTCTTTACTACCAGTACCTAAGCATCCCTGACACTGAGCTCCGAAAGATGGTCAGTCACCAAAGGACATTTGCTCTTTCTGGAATACAAAAGTTAGAGTTCAAAACAAGAACTGGGAAAGATGCTGAAGAATCGGTCACTGGTGAGCATACTGTAGACACAGCACAATGTGAGACATGGCAAGGCTCTTGAACTGAAGCCAACATCGTACAAATGCTGGCTGGTTATGATAAAGCCTCTGCCTTGAGAAGACACTATGTGGCTCCTGATTCTCTAGAAAAGCAAGCTGGGGCTGCCATGAAAAGTAAATTCCTCACTTTTTGCTGTATGGTACGAATTTCTGTGCACACTTTACATACCCTGCACAACTTTCTCTAAGCAGAGCATAGAGAGGTATCTTCTTTCAAGGCTAAAACTCAGTTTGACTCAGAACACTGTAAAATTTCCAAGTAAATATACTGAAATATTTCTTAAGCTGGAGATGGAGAATTTCTATAAAGACAATAAAACATTCAAGCATTCTTAAGAATATTTACAGAACATGGCAAATTTTGTTAATCATATTAGGCTAGTCATTACAGTAACAGTTTTGATAATCACTTTTGTCACCAATATGATTCAAGCATTTTCTTAAATTGCTGACAAATACAAATACCTAAGTTTTCAAAAAAGATGCAATTTGGCTTACCGGAAAGTATAGAAGAAGTGATCCAAAAAGAATGGTTTCCAACAGCACCAGACCTGAAGCTCTTATACTCTAGAAAACAAAACAAACAAACAAAAATACGGAATATTAGAAAATTCCTATTCAACACATTACATGGATACATTTTGAAACTGCTAAAATGGCTCTCAGATGTGAGAAACTACAAATCATGGGAATAACAGATATGAATTTAACAGCACATTTTTTTCTGTACTATTTAAATGCTAAGAAGTCCTCTGAACGCTCTGACCTACCTATTTAATATTAATGATTCAGCTTTCACAGTATGTATGAATAATCTACAATTTTATTGAATACAGATTGTGCTCTTAGATTGAAAGCACCTTCATCTTTCCTGGAATTTTATACAAAGATGTATATGTTCAGTCATTAACTTGTCAGGATTATAAAATATAGTGCCACTTCCTCACTGATTCTAATGCAGTCTCCATCATAGTTTTATTCCATTTTAAAATAAAAAAATCAATTCTTTTCCTTAATATAAAGTTTGCTCCATTGATGATTTATGTATGGCGCATCTGTACCTTATCTAAAAGACAAAACATCGACACCGCTTTCCATTTCTTTCCTTCCTCTGAGACAGTGTTTCATCCATTATTTTGGACTAAGGCATTGCTCTCCTAACTGCAAGCAATACAGTCAGATAGGACAGCAAAAGAGGCTTTGCCAAAAATCTTTTGAAAAATCCCCTTATTTCACATCATAAAATCCTCTCATGGACTGGAATCAATGGTCTGTGGTAATCACTCTAATGAGTTTGGATGAGAGAAGTTTATCTTTCATTAGTAAGGCAATCATTAAAAAAACGATCTCTGTCTGAATGGATTCACAGATGCATTTTTGGTCCCACAGGGTACAGTTTCCACTTGCAAAAATGGTGGAATTTTATAGATGGATCTTTTCAGTGTAACCTGATTTCATATTTCAGCATTAACTTTTTTGACTGGTCAGTGTCTTTTGACTTTTACAGGTCTGACATATCAAATGTATGATGAAAGATCAGGAGAAAATTCTCAGAGACCCTTACTAATATTAGACTGTTATACCAGCAACAGTGATATTTAGCAGGGAAGGTCGTGTAACACCGGCACATTGGCACAGACACCAGTGGTCTGATCTCCCACCTTGCTGAGAGTTAAATTTGGGTCAAGTACCAGAAAGTGAGGACCATTTTAAGCCAGTTCCTTTCAGAATACAGCTCAGCTGTAATCCTCCCATGGAATAGGACAGGTTCTTTTTCTGAAGGTACTCTGTCATATCATCCATGCCCGTGATCTAGGGTGCTGATGTTTGTGCTCTGTATGAAGTTAGCACTGAATTGTGTTTGCACACTGCATTAGGAAACAGCTTATGAAAAGCACGCTGAAATGTTTATTTTCAGAAGGCTTAGAAACACAACACAGACTAAAGATTTAAAGTTCTTTTGACTTTTTCCTTCTGCGACAGTGTAATGTAAGACTTGCACATATATTCAGTGCTCAGGATAAAAAAGAAAAGAGACCACGAGATTTTTGTATCCCCCCTGAGTAACAGTGCCTTGTTCTGTTTTCCTAATTTCTGATGCAAATTATTCCCCTCTGCATGAGAGGGGAATAATTCCTAGTTCAGTCAACCTCATTTCCCGCTCTTTATTCCCCACTATTAGAAAGTTCTGCCTAATGTCTCTTATACTTCCTGTAGTGCATCTTTAATTCACTATTTCTAGTTCTGTCAGCCATGTGCATACAAGTTATTTCCTTATTTTTCACAGGCATTATTCATGCATTTGAAATGTATTATGGATTCTCTTTTCTGGATTTTTCCAATTCTTTGATTTTTCTGTGTAGGTCTTTACCTTGAACTTTCACATTGTGAGTTTCACAGTAAGGATTACAAAATTATTCTGTTACCTCACTCTAAAATTACACTCTGCACCTGAGACCTAAATACTTCTAGCAAAATTTTATTAGAAGGTACGTGCTTCCATGAAATGTTTCTTTAGAAAGCAAAGCAAAACAAAGAGAAGCACTACCAAATAGCTGAACTACTATAATTGTATCTCCCAACAAGGTGCAATGCCTGCCATAGCAATTACTGAAATGTGAAAACCAATCCACAAGCAGAGTTCATGCGTGCACTTTCATCACTGGGCTCCTGTAATTCAAGGCATTTGCTACAAAAACCAAAACTGAAGTCTGTTTTCTTTTCCCTTCTCAATGACTATATTATGATATTGGATAATCTGTAAGCAAAATCCCAAATGCAAAGAGCTAGACAGTGGGAAACTGAAACGCCAATGTCAGGTTTTTTAGGCTCACATATTTCAACTGTTCAATGACATACAAAATTAATTCAACTCAGTTAGAACTCCATGGAATTTGGATACATGGGGAGCCTCAGCCACAAGTCTCCTAATGGGAAAATGGTCCAGCATTCCCATACTGCATTTCTCCACGTGGAAGCACTGTCCTGCCTTATTTCATCTACTGGTATGTACCACAGACATACACAAAGCACATATATCATCAGACAAAAAATGCCCCAAACAAAACACACTGATTCCGTATTCGCAAGACATTAAGTTGTTATAAGCATCTCAAAACAGTAAACAAAGAGCTGAAGGGAATATACTGTCTTTTATGGCTGATGTAGTAAAATTGCTTATGTATTCCATGATATGTATTCTCGTTTATGTATTCAAATGCACTCAACTTATTCAGATGGCAAAATAAAAATCAATACATGTATATGACTTTTCAAGATTGATTTCTGCAGACACTTCTGATACAACAGCAAAAAGCTGGAAGTGAATGTTCAGGTGCCAGTTATGAAGCCATTAAATAAAACATTTTCAGGTTATTTAATTAAGAATGACTCAGTTTACAGCTTGAATGTTTGTGGCGAATGAATCATGCACACTGCTATAGCATGTAGAACAGAAATTGCATATATTTTTATAAACTATAAATGATAGTATGGTTAGCTGGCATTTCTAATTAATGTGCAACTTCAGCATGAGCAAGACATAAAACTTCTGTGCAGCACACAAGAAAAAAAGATTAGAAAGTTTAGAAAAGATTAAAATTTGCCCCCAGTAACTTTGCAAACACTGGCACCAAAGGCACGGCTATAGGCAGCACCACAAATACTTGTTTCTATAGAACTCTAAAACATACACAGCAGCAAGTATGGTCACACAAGTCATGGAAGAAAACTTTAAAGGAAGCAAATTAAAGAATGGAACTAAATGGCATTCCATAGCCTCCACCATTCGCTCTCCACCTATGCCATCTGCACAATTAAAAACCTCCCAGACTTCAGGGCACTTTAGGACAAAGTCCAGTGGAATTTTCTTCCACTTGCATGTAACATCAGCTTCATTTCTTTTTCTCTTCCTTATCAGTTGCTTGTTTGTTTGCTTGTTGGCATTTATTTTGCTGTTTGTTTGTTATTGTATTTTTATTTATTTCTCTGGCTGTCCACCTTCTGTACAGTTTGTTTATTTGCTGTTTAGCTTGTTTGCTCATTTCCCGTGTTTACTTATTTGCATCAGAAAATTTGTCCTTTCTGTTTTTTCCCCATCTCAATGGTTGCATATTGCTGACACATAAGTTACACTGAAATATATTTTACTTCTAACATCATAGAAATTTTTATACTTACTATCAGTGATTTTCCACATTCTTCACATTTGTTTGCTTTTTAATTGAGATATTCATGATAAAAAAAAAAAGATGTTATTTTAAGTCTTATTTTAAGAATGAGGTTGACTGAACTAGAAATTATCTGCAATCCGGCCTTCATCCAGCAACAGTGAAAACAAGAAGGATGCAATTAAAATAGTATGGCATGCATTATGATAAAGGTGAAAACTAGGTATGTATTGGCTTCTTTTTCATCGTGAGATGAAGTTTCTTGGAGAGCAGCTACCATCCTCAATTTCTGCAATGAACAATGACATAATTCCAGCAAATCTAATGCAAGTTCTCAACCATGTGAGAAGTGTAAGCAAACTGGCATCAGTTGTTTCATGTGGAGCTATCAAAAGAACCAGCTGGAAAAATGCAAGACTGAGTTAAGTACATGTTAGTAAATTCTAGCCAGTAACAAAGTAGTGTGAGGACATACAGGCCCCTGGTTGGTCGGCTTCTTAACTTCTGAATCACTATGTCATGTTAGATCTACACAGAAAAACACTACGCACAGTAATATGTTTTGCATCTGCAGGTTAAATACTCCAAGAGGCGTCTGCAGAAAATCTGACTGTGTGACTTGGGCAGCAGCGCAGGCTCAGAACTGATGACATACCCTCACATTACACAACCCCTGCAGGATGGATTGGCTCTCCAGCTCCAAGAGGACAAGACAAGAAGTGTTGCCAGTTCTTGAGCTCAGGGATGTAGCTATGAACAGCTGAAATGCTACTGACCATTTGCCCCTCAGTGTCTACTCAGAATTACATGACTGATGATTTAAAGTAGTTAAAAAGTTAAAAATATTCACAAAAGCAAGATACATTCCAGGTCATGAACAGCTCAGAGGTTGGTTATCACACCTATGTGAGATTCAGGATTTGACTACAACTCTGCAACCCAGGCTGCTCAGTCATGCCAAGTGATGTCATGCCACACGATGTAGCATGTTTCTTGTATAAACAAGTTCAAGAATAGCTGCAATGAAACTGTCTTTGTAGACAATGAGTCAAGGTCACTCCATGGCAGATACTTTCAGCTGGTCTATCAAGATGCTGCAATAGAGCGGAGACAGAGCCTAGGTCAAGGGCAGGAATAGCAAAGTCATGTTGCTGAGGTCTAAGCCAGTGAGAAGGGGGCCCTCCTGGGTTGGGGGGGAGTCCAAACACAAGGATAGTCAGAGACAATTCACCATTCTGAATTGGAAAGACCAGGATTAAAGGCTGGCACACTACTTCTGTTCTCCTCTGAAGCAAACATAGCTGTCTTTCTGGAGTAGTTCTTTTACAGAAAGCTTTACTCACTGTTTATTACAAAAACATAGATACTTGTAAGCTTTCTCATGTATCTTTTTCTCAT